AACAGAAGAGAACAGAACACAACACAACACAACAGAAGAGAATAGAATAGAACAACACAACACAACAGAAGAGAACAGAACAGAACAACAGAACACAACAGAAGAGAACACAACACAACACAACACAACACAACAGAAGAGTAGAATAGAATAGAATACAACACAACACAACACAACACAACGGAAGAGTAGAATAGAATAGAATAGAATAGAACACAACACAATACAACAGAAGAGAACAGAACAGAACACAACAGAAGAGTAGAGTAGAATAGAATAGAATAGAATAGAATAGAATAGAAGAACACAACACAACACAAGAGAACAGAACAGAACACAACACCACAGAAGAGAACAGAACAGAACAGAATAACAGTGTTGGATGGGACTTTGAAGGTCTTCTAGTCTAGCCTCTTGCTCAAGCAGGAGAACCTATACCCCACTCCTCTCCAGGTGTAAGCCCTGATTGATGGCTAACTGGTTAAGGAACACAGGCAGTCCTCGACTTACGACAATTCGTTAAGTGACTGTTCAAAATTACAATGGCACTGAAAAAAAAGTGAACATTTTTCACACTTAACGACCATAGCAGCATCCCCGTGGTCACCGGATCAAAATTCAGATGTTTAGAAATGGACTCATATTTACGACCACTGCAATGTCCCCCTTTGCGACCTTTGGATGAATAAGGCCAATGGGGAAGCCCGATGTCACTTAATGACCGTGCTGCCCACTTAACAACCGCAGGGATTCACTAAACGCCGGGGTTACTAACTCAAGGGCCGCAGTGATTCACTGAACAACGGCGGCAAGAAAGGTCGTAAAATGGGGCAAAAGTGTACTTAATGACCGTCTCGCTTAGGATGGAAACGTTGGACTCAGTTGTGGTTGTAAGTAGAGAACAGAGTCTTGCAAGGATCCAGGTGGGGTCAAAATGTGAATTTTCAGCCACTAGCCAAGGTGACAGCTTGAAGGACTTGTGGACTTCAACTCCCAGAATTCCTCCTCCAGTCATGTCAGCTCAGGAATTCTGGGAGTTGAAGTCCACAAATCTTAAACTTGCCAAGTTTGAAGACCCTTGCACAAAAAATGGTTTTTCTCCCCCCCAATCTTGGCAACTTTCAAGATCTGTGGACTTTAACTCCCAGCATTCCCCAGCCAGCATGAAGAAACGTGATTGGACTACTTTTTTATCCCCATTTTTGATTGGATAATTCTTTCCATAGATGGCAGGAAATGTGGCCGGATGTAATACATCTCTATTTTTAAGCCAATGGCTGGCTGAGGAATTCTGGGGGTTGAAGTCCACAGGTCTTTAAAGTGGCAGAACATATATACATACACACATACACATACACACACACACACACACACACACACACACACACACACACACATTGCACAACTGGGAGATGAACGAAATCCACACATTTGGAGGCTCTCAAGGTTGTGTTAGATGCACAATTTTCATCCATCTCGGAAACCATCCTGGTTTTCCTGGACGTAGTCCTCGCTTTACTGTGACTTGCTTAGTGACTATTCAAACGTTACGACGGACCTCCCTGAAAGGAGGGGGGGGGAAATCACCCAGTTCCCAAGGCTGCCTCTTCACCCGCTCATGGGATCACATGATGTACACTTGACAATTGTTCCACATTTACGTCCGTTTGCATGTAACTGCGTTTGTGAAGGTTTTCGGCACAATCAACATCCCCCCCCCCCAAATTTTGGACAAAACTGGCCGCTAAGCAAACCATGGATTCCCTGAACGACCACTGTCAAAGAAAGAAAGAAAGAAAAAGTTGTCAAATCAGGTTGGTTGCAAGGATAACTCGATTTATGACTGTGATAGGCAAGAAGGCATTCTCATCGTAACTAGAGGACAACTTTTTGTTGTTGTTGTTAAAAAAATACCCAGCTGTGTTTGGTTCGATCCTGGTTCTTTAGCCAAAACCTTCACACGAAAAAGTTGGGTTTCGTGTTCACATAATCCCTCTTCCTTCTTCGGAAAGGGCGACAGTAGCAGGGGAGGATGGTTTGTGTAATCCGGGGGCTTGATTTAGACTTTTCTTTCTGGTCCTCAGAACCTGCTGACGGAGGAACTGGATCCGGTAAGCAAAAATTTTCTTTGGTTAGCCATGCACAAAAATGGAAACTTTGCATGACGGGCAGTTTTCAACTTATGACCGTTTTGTTTAGCGACTGTTTAAAGCGACAGCGGCCCCGAGAAAAAGTGACTTTTTGGGCTGCTTATTTCAGACTTACGACCTTTACGACATCCCCCCTCCCCACGATCACGTGATAAAAATTCAGACACTTGGCAGTCAGCTCACAGTTATGACGATTGCAGTGTCTCATCTTCATGACGGTTCAAATAGCCCGGTGGGGAGTGTCAAGTGATCCCCTTTTTGCGGCCTTTGGGCCAGGGGGGAAGTTGGATTCGTTTAATGGCCACGTGACTCACTTAACCTCTGCTGTGATTCGCTTCATGACAGTGGCACGAGGCAGTCTTAAAACGGAGCAAAATTAACTGAACCAATGTTTCACTTCATGACAAGTATTTTGGACTCAAAATTTATGACAGGGTCCCCTTTTACGACTTTTTGAGCGACAAAGTCAGTGGGGAAAGCTGGATTCAGTTAACGGCCATGGGACTCACTTAATAACCGCAGTAACTTTATCTCACAACGGCGGCAAGAAAGGTCGTAAAACGGGACAAAACTCAACTAATGTCTCACTAAGCAGCAGGTCCTAAAACGGGCGGGGGCAAACTCTTTTTCTCACTTAGCAGTGGAAACAGTGCTCTCGATTGTGGTCATAAGGTGAGGACTGTCTGTGTCACACCAAAAGGTTTGTGGTTTCATCGTCGTCACTCCAAGTTTGCCAAAAAGCTTTTGCACAACCACACAGGTTTAAAACTCTGGGTGGCCCTTTATCAGAAATGGTGGGGGGTTGGACTAGATGACCTACAAGGTCCCTTCTAACTCTGTTTAATCTAATCTAATTAATTTAATCTAATCTAATCATCTAATCTAATTAGTCATCCCCCACCCATCCAAAAATTAGGGGGAAAAAAATTATAAAGCCCACCCTTGTGGAAATAAGCCGGCCTTAACCCTGGTCTTGAACAAGCCAGGATGAAACCAGCATGGGGAGATAAAATATTCAAAGGGCCTTCTAACCATCTAAGCTAAGGCTACCATTTATTGCCACCAAACAATAAAATTACAAATTAATTCATAGATTATTTTTATTGAATACTTTTCATTATTATTAGTTTAATAAAAAATAAATTAATGAACAAATTAATAAATGAATAAGAATAATGAAATTTTCCTAGAGTGGTGCGGTAGTCTAGAGGCGGAGCTCTTGCCTCACAATCAGGAGGCTGTGAGTTCGATCCTAGGGAGAGGCAGCTATTTCTTTCTCTGGGCGCGATGAGAATATATCTGCCGAACAAAACTCCGTACTGGCAACAGGAAGGGCATCTGGCCAGTAAAACACTCAAAGCTCCATTCAGTTGCCCAGACTCCGCCCTGCAAGGGATTACAGAGTAATTAAAAGAAGACGACGAATAAGATTTTCCTCGTTTCAGCCTCCCACCACCTCGCAAGCTATTGGTATTCTCGGGATAGACTGCCTCTGAGCATGGAGGTTTCATTATTTCTAGCATGAGTAAATGCCGCCCCTGTTTTCCTAAATCTGTAAAATCTCGTTCAGAAGGTGTCTTAGACTAAATTTATTTCTTTATTATTATTTTATTGGTGGGAGGGGGAGAGAAGACATTAAATTTTTGTAAATGGTTTTAAGAGATTTAAGCAGGAAACGCGCAACCATTTTGGTTGTAGTTGTGGTTTTCTTTGTGGGAAAGAAGGACAAATTGAGGGAGAATGAAGCGGGCCCGAGGAAGGATCAGCCAATCCCTTTCTGGGCTGACAAAGCTATTTATCTTCTATAGAACAGAAACAGAATAACAGAGTTAGAAGGGACCTTAGAGATCCTCTAGCCCAACCCCCTGCCTAGGCAGGAAACCCTATACTACACCATTCCGAGGATTGTCCAATCTCCTCTTAAGAACCTCCAAAGTCGGAGCACCAAGGGGTGAGACTTTTCCTTGGAGCAACGTGGCTTGGCTCGCTGCTTCGAGACTTTCGTGGAGTGCGTCCAGTCTTTTGGTGACCGATGGGCTTTGTAGTGGCTGCAAAGGTGCCTTTGCCAAAATTTGGGGTCGGGATAGGCTAAAACTTGTGCACTTCCCCCCCAAATTTTGCCAATTTTTGCCCAAACTTTGGGTCACCTGCAGTTACCTCTCTTGTCCTCTAGGTGGTGCTCTCCTCCAGCTGGGACAACCAAGGCAAGTTCCTGCACCATTTTGCCCAGGAGGGGGCGCTGCGGCATCGAAGGCAAGGTGAGTGGCTCCTTCTTAAGGCGGGACAGAACAGTAGTCCTCGACTTAACGACCATTATTCGTTTAGCAACTGTGCAACATTAGGCAGCACTGGAAAAATGGACTTACGGCTGGTCTTCACACTTATGACCGTTGCAGTGTCATGGGATCGTCCGTTGTGGCCTTCCCAGCCGGCTTCCGACAAGTAGAAACAATTGGGGAGCCGGATTCACTTAACGACCATGCAATTCACTTAACAGCGGAAGTGATTTGCGTAACAACCGTGGCCAAAGTTGCAAAACTGAGCACGATTCACTTCACGACTGTTTTGCTTAGCGATGAAACTTGTCCCACATTGTGGTCGTAAGTCAAGGACGACCTCCATAAATCAGTAATTGAGGGGGAGACTGAGAGCAATTGCTTTCTCTCGGTCCTCGACTTAATGACTACAATTGAGCCCAAAATCTCCATGGCTAAAGCAAGACCTTTGTCAAAGGATGCTTTGTCCCGTTTTACAGCCACCGTTGTTAAGCGAATCACGAAGGTCGTGAACTGAATCTGCCTTCCCCTTGGATTTGGCTCATCGGTGGTTACAAAAGGGGATCTTGTGACACACACCCCCATCATAAATACGAGTCAGTGGGCGTCTGTCATAAATACAGGTTAGTGGCCAAGCGTCCGAATTTTGATCACATGACCATGGGGGAGGCCCCAACTGTCGTTAAGTGTGAAAAACGGTCACGTCACTTTTTTTTGAGTGCCGTGCTAATTTAGAACGGTCAATAAACGAACCGTTGTAAGTCGAGGACTGCCTGGATTATGAGGGGCAGGAAAATGGACGGTGGCTGCTGTTGTCTTATTTTCTGAGGTCGCCCACCCACCCAAATAACCCCCTCCCCTTTTTTTCCCCTTCAGCTGAGAAAGGGAAGCGATTGCGGCCGTGCCGGACAGGAACCATCTGCGCCGCTCACTATGAAGGTGAGGGAGGGTCTCCCCTGGTCCTCAGCCCCACCCACCCACCCCCGCCCCAGAGGAGAGATGCCAGGGTCTTTGGGGGGGGCGGGGACGGAGGGAGGGGGCTTCCGAGTATTTGGAGCCTCCACACTGGACATCCTTCCGTCAAACTGATTCTTTCTTTCTTTCTTTCTTTCTTTCTTTCTTTCTTTCTTTCTTTCTTTCTTTCTTTCTTTCTTTCCTTCCTTCCT